GGTTTTGGTCACTTCACATGACCCTGGGACACTGTGACCGTCATAAATATGAATCAGTTGCCAAGCATCTGAATGTAAATCACAAGACCCTGGAGATGCTGCAACATTCCAGCTGATCGGTGCTTCTTCTGGGCTCAGCAGAAGCACCAGGATCAGCGCCGAGCTCCAGCTGGAGCCTGGCGCTGATCCTGGCGCTTCCGCTGAGCCCTGACAGCCCTGCAGCTCCAGCCATCTCTCGCTCAGGCTTGTGCGGTGCTGCCACCAGTTGAGCTCATTCCCCTCCCCCACTACCACTTTTCTAGGATGGTCACGTACCATCTGCCAGGTGCCAATGTACCACAGGTGGTACCCGTACCACTGGTTGAAAAGCCTTGATCTAATGGGACACTGGAGGTAGGCCTTCCCTGTTGCTGCACTTGCCCTATGGAACAGTCCCCTCCCCCCGAGCTCTACATAGCTTCAACCTTACACATTAGGGAATCTTTTAAAAAAGTATTTTGTTTAGGAGGTCCATTTTAGTGGTGGGTGAAGTGAAGATCTGAAGTGTCTTTCACGGTTTTTCTCCATATATTGTTTCACTTTGTCATATATTGTCCCTTTTGTGTTGTATTATATTGTATTCCATTATATTGGTTTTAGTTTCTGAAGCTGCCCACAGGCATTTGGGAGTAAAGTGGCCAAAAAAATGTGAAAATCAAATTAAATAATCCTGGTTTCTCACATACATTTCCATTATTACTATTATTGTTCTATTTCTACTGTCCAACATATGCTCACAATAATCCTGTAAAAAGGGTTAGGCTAAAAGATGATGACTGGTCTAAGATCTCCCAGTGAACTTCATGGTTGAATGGATATTTAAGCCTAGATCTCCTCAACTGTGCTAGCCCTACAATCTAAACTTACCATGTCACAAAGGGACCAGAGAAAATCACCTTCATTAAAGTTCACACAGCAAAAAATACAAATAAATAAGGAGCAAATCCTGTTAAGGAACAAGTAAGGGGCATTCTGTACAGTGACTGACCAAAACAGGTCATTTTTTAAACATCCTCTTCCTCTTGCTGCTGTGCTGCTGACCACGAACAGCGGATTGGTGTGCCAATAGCAATGACCTGGCTCCATACCTGTGGCCAACTCTCTAGACAGCGCTCTCTTTGTCCCCAAGTCACCATACAATGCACCCCATTATTATCTGCATCAGGGGCAGATTGCTCTCACACCTATCCTTGGTATGCCACTGATTCTGCAGGTCTACCATGTGTAATCCATTCAGTTTCTATTTTGGCATGTAATAAAATCATCTCTTACATACCGTATTGGTCAGCTGATTTTCAGAAGCGTTCTCTCTCAGTTGCCCACGCGGGACCTGGGAAAAGTGGGCGGATAGTTCTGCCATTGGGACTTTCTTCTTGAGTTACCGCAGCTGTAAAAAATTTTAAAAAGAAAGAAATTCTAAAAACCTACAATTTATTTGAATGAATTCAAACGAAAAACTATCTTAGCAGCTCTTTCTAAATCAGTGTGAAGAAAAAGCAGTTTGGTATAGAGATTAATGACACTTAAGTACATATGGTTCAGTGATTTCACACTTAGCATGGATTTGTGATTGGCAAATCTGTTCCAAAACAAAGTTTGTCTAAACTTGAACTTTAACATCACTTACAAAATATCAGAACTAGCTGCAGAACTACTATAGAGCAGGGGTCCTCAACCTTGGCAACTTTAAGACTTGTGGACTTCAACTCCCAGAATTCCTTTGCTGGCTGAGGAATTCTGGGAGTTGAAGTCCACAAGTCTTAAAGTTGCCAAGGTTGAGGACCCCTGCTATAGAGGGATACTTATGTGAGATGAATTTAACGTTAATAAACACCCCTGACTATAAATCACAATTAGGCAGCAAAATGTTATGCATCAAATCAATATGATGCCAAAAACTGAACAGCATTGTAGCTCAGAATATGCCTTCTTAAATAAACTCGCTGTCTACACTTTGAAGGTTTCTTCTTCCACTCATTTCAACCAGAATAAAAATTTTATTTACCACATTGTAAAGAAATTTCTCAGGCAGGCTAATCATAAATTCTGGCACCGGAAAGAAATTAAATATGATTGATACATATTAGAATATAAACATCCATGTATAATATTGTAACTACCTACTGCCACCGTATATTTTCTGCTGTATGGAAAGAAGACTGCAGTTTTACAAATAATTTTGAACAGGGATGGGATTACAATAAAGAGAACACAAATAAACAATTACTGTAACGAATATTTGAAAGGCGATGAAAGAATAATCTAAAAGCAAAAGATGAAAATAATGTGAGTCAAGTTGGGTGAAGACGGACTGCTGAAGTTCTGGTTTTGAAGACTAAATTTGAAGGATATAATGAAGTGACACAATGAACTATAGAAGAAAAAAGATTATATGTAGCCTAGAGGTGTGGGCAATCGTTTTCAACTTGTGAGCAAAATATCTGCCCCCTATGCGGGGGTTATATACAGCAAGTCCAATAACACATTAAAAGAATAGGTAAAATTGAAAATTCCATTTCTCCCCCCCCCTTGGGTTGGTACTAAAGAATACTAAAGACTAAATTGTTACCAGGAAATTCCCCACTACTTCCAGTTTATTATATATTTATTATAAACATATCATTATTATTAAAAGTCAGGTATCCTGGTTTGTATCAATGGGGGTGTCTGTGGGCACACTGACGCTCTAGGCTGAGATCCTCAATCACAGCAGTTTACAAAGCAGAAACGGAAATCAAACGGTTTCAAAAATGACATGACAAAGATGAGTGGAAAGTAGATCTGGAGGTCCTGCTAGATCTCGGTAATGTTTTCTGACTCGCTATTTAACAACAGGAGCAACAACGTGGTTTCTGAATCACGCTAAACAATTAATGAAATGATAAAGAGATAAGTAAAAATAAATTATTGCTGAAAAAAAAATCACCACAGAGGGCACTGGCATAAATACTTTGTTATCCTTATAAGAAGATGTTTTGACAGTGTTTTAGCAATAGCAATAGCACTTAGACTTATATACCACTTCACAGTGCTTTGCAGCTCTCTCTGAGCTGTTTACAGAGTCAGCATATTGACCCCAACAATCTGGGTCATTTTACCGACTGGAAGGCTGAGTCAACCTTGAGCTGGTGAGATTCAAACTGCCAAACTGCTGGCAGTCAGCAGAGTTAGCCTGCAATACTGCATTTTAACTCCTGCACCACCACAGCTCAGTAATAAAGTGATACAATCAAGAATGACAGTTGCTACAGTTTCTAGTCCAGTGGTGGCGAACCTATGGCACGGGTGCCAGAGCCGGCACACAGAGCCCTCTCTGTGGGCATGCGCACCATCGCCCCAGTTCTAGGCCTTCAGCTGGGTTTTATGAAACCTTTTCGCTTTAGGCCTCCGCCGCCGTGTACAAAAAAAAAGTTCAATCAATCAGTCAATTTCAACTTCTCGCGGGAAAAAAAAAGATCTTGCAAAGTTGGAATTGATTGATTGAACTTTTTAGTCCCACCCAGTCTGCCGTTACCACCGCAGCCACGCCCACCCAATGGGCCACACCCACCCAGCACCTGACGATGCATTAAGTGGGTTTTGGGTTGCAGTTTGGGCACTCGGTCTCTAAAAGGTTCGCCATCACTGTTCTAGTCTGATGACTACTTTGGTAAGTACAGCCAAAGTCTTTTATTCACAAAAATGAGCCAAGCTCCACCCAGAAAACAATTACAATAAAAAAAATTGTACAGGACTGAGACATTCAACAGTCCCTCTGTTTTCCTTTGACTCTGTATGATCTAAACACAAGTGGAGCATATTTACTGAGATAGCATTGCAAAAATCACAGAGAAATGAAAATATATAATAATTTCTATTTTAAGTTTTCTATATTTTGTCCATTAAGTTCAAAGAAGAAACTATTGAAAACCCATAGGAAAGCAACAGTGATAAAAGGATAATGATAAAAAAAATGTGTACTTGGGATGTCCCTATATGAGTTTTTTTCCTGGTTTTTGTTTGTTTTAGCAACAACTTAAAAGGTTTTTGGTATATTTATCAGATCTTCCTATCTAATCTACAGTTCTGATAAAGAAGTACAGATAGTTCTCGACTTACAATGACCGTTCAAAGTTACAATGGCTCTGAAAAAAGTGATTTGTGATTGTTTTTTCACATTATGACCATTGCAGCAACCGTGTGGTCATATGATCAAAATTCAGGAGCTTGCCAACTGACTCGTATTTATAATGGCTGTAATCTCCTGGGGTTATGTAATCTTGTAACCTGACAAGTAAAGTCAATGGGGAAGCTAGATTTACTTAATAACCGTGCCACTAATTTAATAACTGCAGTGATTCACTTAAGAACTTTGGCAAGTAAGGTCATAAAATGGGGCAAAATTCACTTAACAAATTTCTCACTTACCAACATAAATTTGGGGCTTAATTGTGGTCGTAAATGGAGGACTACCTGTACGTCTCCATGTAGGTAGACAAGTACTAGAAACAGTAAAGACTACATTACAAGGAAAAGACTGTTGAATATTAAATAAAATAAGGATAGCTGCACATTTTTTTAAAGAAACAACATGAGGCTGGTGAATATTAGTAACTGATATCCCACCTAACTGCTTCCTCTGTCCTTTTGCCATGCTTCTAGAATCTAGACCATATGAAGCCAGTTAATTAAGAAACTAGCATGCTATTCAAAACAAGCTCTTGAGTAAAAATATGGTCAGGTTGCAGTAACTTCCTTTCCAAGCACCTTTCAGCCGTAATTTGGTTTTCCAGGGCTGGTAAACACTTACCTTCCACAGAATACTTTTGATCAGGGGTCTTCAAACTTGGCCCTTTTATGACTTGTGGATTTCAACTCCCAGAATTCCTCAGCCAGGCACGTTAGCTGAGGAATTCTGGCAGTTGAAGTCCACAAGTCATAAAAGGGCCAAGTTTGAAGACCCCTGCTTTTGACCATGTAGAGTGCAATCACAGCATTTTTCTGCTTTATAAAGTAAGAAAAGGCACTCTGTGTTAAAGATAAACAGCTGTCGCATTCACACCCCTGAGGTTTCTGAAGCATCTCTACATGGAATCAAATCCAAAGTATCACACAGCTCCATTATTTTTCCCCCTTTTTCATATCTGTGCCAAGGGTTGAAATGAGAACAGAAAAAGGCTAAACCTTTCCACATCCTGTCCACAGTGGCTCTAATCCTCATGTCATCAGCTTTCCCCCCCTAAAATACTTGCCCATGGTTTATTAAATAAACTACAATAAGCTAATTATACAGAACACACTGAATCTAAACTGGTGGGGCTGATATTATAGAAGGAGTTCTGATACAATCCCTTTCAAGTAATTGTCACTGAACTTTTGGAAAAATATGGGAAAGCAAACTGAAATTGCATGTACCCTCATAAGAGTATTTATTAAAATAATTATTACTAAATACTATGTTATACGTAAAGGAAACTAAAAATAAGAATCAACCTACAAATATAAACCATAATGACTGAAGTAAACTGGGCCAAGATGGAAATTCACATCTACTTCGTAGGGGGCTACAAAACAGTATGACCTCATTCATAGAGAAACTGTTCTCAAGTGGAATATATTTTAACTGTATTTTTTCAGTAAAATATATTTTTACAACACAGGATAACATAGTCCTGATACATGCTTAATAAAGTCTACCATCCAGCTATAAATCATAGGATCTGTATTTTTTTTATTTACAGAGTATCAATTTGTTTTGTAGGACTAAACTGTAATCAATTGCTTTAAAGAGGTTGTGTTCACATGGTTTACTCATAGGAAATTGAATGATGGTTTTCTCAATCTTGTGCTCTGGATTGGCATAATATTCTAAAGTATATTCTGTATATATTGCCAAGATTTGCATTGTACACTAAAATGCAACTGGCTAGCTCTGAGGTCAATGTATCCTATAATCAGATATAAGGTTAATAAGCATTCTTTGATCTAGACATAATTAAAACAAAATGACAAACAATCCATTTAATAATCGTTTAATATGAAACAGAGAGTGTTTACCTCAAAAGTCATGACAACTATATGTGAATAAAATTTCCTTTTTTCCCAGGCTAACAGAAAAGCATTAGAACCTCTTTAGCCAATTAACATTTCTTTTTGGAATGGAAAAAATACCAGTGCTTAATTACATCTGTTCTTCTAACTTCTCTTAGGTGTCTTTAACACGGTACTTATAAAACAGCAGCAAATTTGAAAATACAAAGAAATAACTTTATAAGAAATATCATTATCACAACAAAGTAGCATTCTATTTGCCTTCAAGAGTGCCTATAAATGCTCCTACCCTCACAAAACTAATGCTGATCAGAACATGTGATTTTCTAATAGTCCTTTCAGCATTGCTTACTATTATAGTTCAGCAATATTTGATTGATCATAGCTTCCTCACTTTTTGACCTACAGCCTAATCCCATACAAGTTGACTTTTATTTTTTATAAATTATTTGTTTTAAAGCCAAATAAGGGATTTGAGGCAGGGATATTTTAAACTGATTCAACAGCACCATCTCACCCATTCATTCCTTTCATTCTCCCCCCTCCCCCCCCAAAAAAATCTAAGTGCAAATACAGAAGTATTTTACAGGGGAATTTCACCTTTAGTTTCATCCCAAACAATGTATAGGAGTACAAAGTTGGTATTACTTTATCAATAATGAATCATAGTTTAGTTTTCCAGACAATTGTTTAAGTTTTGATCTTCTGTACCAGATATGCCTAACTTTTTGTAAGCCAAAGCCCCACTTCATTAGATGTATGGAATGTAATTCTAAATTGGCATATTTGCAGTCCTGGGAAGAAGAAAAAAATGTTACTGTATAGCAAAGACAGAGGAGAATATAATGCAAGAAGCATTGGTATTGTACTATATGAAAACTTACATGCAAGTTATTTACTGCTGCCAAAATCAACCATGCAATATAAGCACACAAATGTAAATTAAAATGCAATAGCAATTTATCTGTGATTTGCTCATGCTATGATTCGTTCAAATATTTTTCCAAGCCATATTATGGTTTTTGTTTGGTCTTAACTTAGCATATTGTGTTAATCCAAGCACTATATTTTGTAAATAATGCTTCATATTGCTTAGCCTGATATATAAGTCTACACAATTATATGTTCAATAGCTCAGATAACTCAAGCCATAGTTAGCACAATGGTTAAGTCAAGTTTACAACCTAATAATTTAGTACTGATAAGTTATTTAGCAATAACAATTTTTTAATGTCACCATGGTTATTTTATATATTTTGTATTTTGTCTTGCATTTTCTTCTCCGTATTTGTTGTTTTTCTTTGATTAAATAAGCATATTTACCAACATCAAATTCTCACTTTTAAATTGGATTCTGGTCCACAAAAGAGCATCTCTTTTTAAAGATGCCATAAAATATACAACTGTTTTCCTGTTTTGAATGGCTTCTTCAAGGCTCCAAGCCAAAGCCAAAAATACAGGATTGTGCCCTCTAAAAGAGGGTTTCCCAAAGCGTGAGGTGTACCTGTTTCGGAGTCGAGTTTAGAACCTTTGTTTTCATTGTTACAATAAACTCTCCTTTTCCAAATTTCACGGTATTGTTTTCATCGTTCAATATTGTACGCCTACTCTCTTCTGGTGTTCATCTTTAGGGGAGGTGTGTGCATTAAGATTACACCAACAGGAGACGTGAAGGCAAAAAAGTTCAGGAACCCCTGCTTTAAATAAAGGAGGAGAACTTACTCCGATCTAAGTAAGAGAAACAGAGCCAAGATCCTTATGAATGGGCCTCGGATCTTGGCCTGGAGCCAAAGGAACAACTGTATCCTTTTCACTTCCACGACGTGGGAACCAGGCTTCTCACAAAACAAAGCACATCCATCGGCTCCAGCCAATGGGCTTCCGCTTTTAACGCAGGGAAGATTTCGGTTAAGACCAGGGAAGCGATTTCAGTCCAAAGCCTCGCGCCTTCCCGCACAGCCCGATCTGGAGTCAAGCCCAGCCCGGCTCTTTCGCAGGCACTCCGATTCCAGAGTCCAGAGTGGGGAAACGGAATCGCTACTCCAGATTTACAAAGGTGTGCAAAGCGAGGCCACGGCTGCTTGGAAGGAAGTTTTGATAGACCTGAAGCTATTCTGCTTCTTGTAGTAAGGGGGCGGGTAGGGAGAGACCTAAGGGAAAGAGTCCCGAGGGACAAGACCTTCATCCCGCACAGGCCCCTCGCCCTCCCCGAAAGCCCCCGTTTACCTTTCCGCCTCGGCGCCCAAATTGTCTTTCCTTCGGCCCGAACCACGGCAAAAGCCCCTTCCCGTTTTCGCCCGCCGCTTCCGGCCCAGGCCTCGCCCCGCCTCCTCTGACTCCCGTAGGCGGGGCGTCTCTCACTCCTTGTTTTCTTTGGCAAATCGAGCTTGTCCATCAAAGGGAGCGCCTCGCCCCTCGGCTGTGGACAACAGCAGCTGCAGCCGGGGAAGAAAGGGAGTTAGCGCGCATGCGTCGGAGGAGTTGCAGCTGCTGCTGCTTCTGTACAAGCGCGTCAACCCCAGGCGTGTGGAGGTAGCCGGAAGGAGGCAGCTGGGGGTTAATTTTTACTTGACGGAGTCCAGGTCGTTGAACCTAATTTGGTTGAGAACATGTGGATTTTTGCCAAGCAATCGCTTTTTCTTTGTTTTCCCAGGGAATGAAAGTATTGGATGGATGTGCACACCAGGGTAAACTTTAACGTGATTTGTGTGCTGTATGCCTTTGTAATTGAAGTTTGCATACAGTAATTTGGTGCAGAAATCTAATCATTCGGTTTTTTAAAGGCTGTTTTATTTATAGACATTTCTCGAGGGTGATCATTGGTTGCTTCACGCTTTTATTGAGGTTCAAGCTATTTTAGGATTGCCTAGCTGAAAAAGGGGTAGCCACCAAGAGTGCCGGCAACTGAGAAGAAACGAGCACTTCATGCTCTTCAGTTTTGGACTACAGAATCCATCATTAAGGATCCTTTTCAATTGTAGGGCAAACTTCTGAGAGCATCAGGTGAATTATACTCTGTATCAACTTAAGATCTACTCACTTAACTGAGAGATGGGTTTAGATCTGAGCCTTCATTTGCTAGTTTGTATGGTTGTTTTAAAGTAGGGTGTAATATAAAACCATACAGAGGATTCAGGCTGTAGTAACGGCAGCTCCTCCCTCTCAGGAATTAAACTAATAGGTTTGATGGCTGATGATTTTTTGTTTTGGAATAAACTCAGTCCTAAAACCATAACATCACAGACAAGTCTTGTTATAGTTAAAACATTACACAGATATTTTCATTTAGAGGAAATGGAGGAAATAGGAACTAATCCCTTAAATCTAATTTTGGACATTACTTTGCCAAGATCTCAGTGGCTGGGTTTGCACATTACCCTAAACCAGGGGTAGGCAACCTTGGCTCTTTTATGACTCGTGGACTTCAACTCCCAGAATTCCTGAGCCAGCATGGAAACCTCTCCCTTTCTCCTCAGCATGGCCGGCTCAGGGATTCTGGGAGTTGAAGTCCACAAGTCATAAAAGAACCAAGGTTGCCTACCCCTGCCCTAAACCATCAGTTTGGTTTAAATAAAAAACAAATTTTTGCTCAGCTTGTAATTATTTATACATCAGAATGGTTATTTTCACATATTGCATTAAATACAAGCATGCCATGTCTTAATGAAAGTGTGAATCTACCGGTAGCTATTGAATTGGAATAAATCCCTATTTACAAAATCCCACGGTAACCTGTAATTTTATGCATAATTCACTTCATCTGTTGCAGTTTGAAAGTCACCACGAAAACACCAGATAATCTGTTTTAAAAGTAATATATTGGCACCATTACTGTTCAGAAATATGATTTTAATCTTCAATAGTCTCAAAACTACAGCCTTAATTGTATTCCTTGTGCTGTTAATCTGTACAATATTTTGTCTAGATTTGTCACTCTCTCAAATAGCAATTGTCATGGGTTACAATTACCATCCCTGTGAATTTTTGAGCCTAGGAAGGTAGCTTATTACTCCTTCAGCTTCACCATCTATTTTCATTGGCAAGCAGGCACTGGTATTGTCCAATAACTTTACCTTTTAAAATAAGTGTACCTTTATGTATATATGGGAGGGGGGAAGAAGCATGAGCTTATTTCCTAATTAACATCTGTGGGGTTATGAAGAGTTAGACACAATTTTATGAAAAAACAATGATTTAAAAAAGGGAGTGGGGAGACTGCCATACTTTGTGATCCTAGTCAGACTTTAGGTTTCATTAATCAATGCAAATATCAGTTATGACTAGTAACAACCAACCACTATAAGAAAATGCCTCCTCATAAGTTTGTTTATAGCATTATATATTTAATTTTAACAAGTTGAATCTTATCAGGAGTGATGTTGGTGAACCATTTAGAATCAACTGTAATCCTGTAGCATTATAACTTGCAATGTCTGAGCTTTATTTTTACCTATTATTAAAAAAAGTTATTGTGTCTTTATTGAAATAGTGAGTCAACATCCAATCCTTGTTGGAATTTTTTTTTTAAAGCTTTAGATGTAGTAATGGCACAATTTAGCAGCAGTGACTTCAAACGTTTCTTACATCTGTAGATCAATCCTGCACATCAGGTTAGGGTTATTTTGAACTAGTTCTCTTTATATAACTGCTTGAATTCAATGATATTTTTGTGCTGTCTTGTATGAACTGCTTAATTCAGATTGTACCATATTTCAATTGAATTAAGTTTTGTTATCATGTTCCATGTCGTACATTTGTTTTGGGTTCCACTCATGAACTGGTACTCTGACTTCCTGTAGCAGTTGCACAGGACAATATACCTTTTTCTCTCAATGATTGCAAGTTGTCTGGGTCTTGAAGCTGCAAAGCAGTGTACCATTTTTCGCCCCATCATGCTTCATAGATAGGATGAGGTACTTTTGTTGGCAATATTTTTTTTTCAAATGAAAACATTTCTCGTCAATGCCAAATAATGTCCACTGTTGTTTTGTTGGTCCACAAAACATCGTTGACATGGATGGAAATGTGTTTTTCAAAAATCATGTTTTCCTTCTTGTTATCCTCTGAAACATGAAGTTATCCTGTTATGCAGTATTTTCCTTCTGGTGGGATCATGAACATTGGTGTCAGGTAATGCAAGCGTGGCCTGTGTTAAAATTATTATGACTTTCAATACTGGGAAAAATAACAAGGGTATTCCATTTTCTCCATTGGAACCCTGATTTATTGTGGATTGCTGGAGGCCAAAACATTTAGCAACAGTTTTATAATTCTTTCCAGACCCCAACTTTTTCTGAGGTCCACAAAGCTCTCTTGTTTGGGGCATAAGGTTACGTTGTGAATAGCAGACTCTGATGATGGCAAGATACGTAGTTTAAAACAAACTCTGGAGGACCCCTCAAACCTGTACTATACTGCCATCTCATTGATTCCAACATTTAATTCAACACACTATCTTAAGAAAGCTCATATCCTAAGGCTTCATGAGGTTTTCCTAGCTAACAAAGATAATGAATGTTGACTCAATAAAGACCTGCTATTTATTCAAAGTTTATTACAGATTTAGATGGAATTTTGATCAGATTGCATGTGATGGTACTGCAAAATTATGTTCTAAAAATTCTAAAGAAGTCACAAACCTTCTCTAATACCAGTATGTCGGGTACCTGACTGAGTTTGAGTTTAGCAGCTAACTAGGGTCAGGGCCAGTTAACTAAGATAAGAAAACGCAAAATAACAGGGGCATAAACTAGTGGGAAAAGGCAAAAATGGCACTAGTTTTGGAGTGCTCCCATGACTGTGTCCAGTAGTTTATTAGATATAGATCTTTTAAAAGATTAAAATTCATCTCAGTAGGATCAGTTTGCAGCTAATTTAGCTTGATCCAATACAATGTTGGAGCTTGACAAATGGGCAAAATCTGAGATTACTCTATACAGCAATATGAGCACATCAACCAGTTATATTCTCTTCCTCCCATAAGTGAAATAGAAGTATTGATATTATCTTAAAACCTGAGTAATCAAAATTCAGATCAAATATATACATTTTTAATATCTGAAATATTTACACGATGAAATCTTTATAGGATCCCATTAAGAACACATTTTCAGATGCAGGAATTCAGTAACATGGGATCACAGTTATACCTTCTGAGTAAGTGATCTGTATTTCTTCAGGTAAAGAGATATCAGAAGAGTGATTTTTTTTTTAAAGTCAAGTTGTTGCTTCCTGGAAAGTGTTTGTCCTGCAATCAAGAAGCCTATGGCATACAGTCTTTTTTACTTGTGAGATTTTTAAAAATGCAGTTTACAGTACATTATTTATACCACATCAGCATGTATAAAACCCATAGAGTAAGACGGCAGGAAATGGTGCCCTCTACAAATCTGACAGACATTTTACAGTACAAAAAAGAATAAAGTCACAGCTGACTTGATGGCTTACGTAACAGTTTTTCATCTTTGAATACGTTATGATCTAATATTGTAAATTGTTCTGCTCAAATTACACCTTTATACCATTGCTTTCCACAAATATCCCAAACTGGCCTGTTTCCAGTTTCTTTTTAAATAATAAAAAAATAAGATGTCAGGTTTCTATTAGAAGGGCTAAAAGTAAATATAACTGTGTGGTATTTGTCCTAATTAAAACAACGATGACAACAGCAAAACTAAGTATGAGAGGTTCTGATATAGTTAAAATGAAAGTCCTGAGTTTATGCAAGTCCACCATTTGTTTTTTTCTACAGGACAGGCCATCTAAAAATATTACAAAGCCCAACAAGTGAACAAGTTCACATCCATGCAGGTGAAAACTGTCTTCCAGCAAAATGACTCCCATCCATTTTTGGAATTTTAAAGTTTATTCTATTTTAAAAATGGAGGGAAAGAGACTGGTGCATTTACATAAAGTTCAATTATTTCCATATGTAATAAGTGGAGATGTCTTCTAAAACATGGGTGTCTTTAATATTTACAAGAAGCAGTCTAGAAGATGAAGGTCAGAGACTGTATACAGCAGCTGTAGTTTATAAATCATACCTGTTACTTTACCTGGCGCGTGAGAACCACCAATGTAGGATTTGGAGAATTACAATCAAGGAAGCAGAGAAATGGAACAAAGATAGCCTCAATGAAACAGAGGATGAAAAAAAATTCACATTTTCTACATTTAAAAAATACAGGTCTCACAAATGTCTCTGAGCACAGAGAAACTTCAAAGTTCTTCAGTGATGTGAAACAAAAATTGAAATGGAACCATAAAAAGAAGTCTTTATTTTACCAGACCGATCTTTTTGGCTTCTGTTTCATATATTAATAACCTCCACATTTTGACTATAAAAACTTCTGCTTCTTCATCTAGCACCTGTAGGAGAAATAGAAAATTTCAAATTTAGGGCATGATCATTGCTATTGTTATTCTGGATTCATTTTGTAAAAACAGCAATTTTTTTTCTGATAAAGTATTACAAGTTTACACTGGTAAATTCTTGCTTTTACTCACCATAGCAACATCATCCAGGATGCTTTGTGGTGCACTATGAGCCATAACCTGAAAGAGAGATACATAGAAATTGTCTTAGTATTTTAAACACTTTGAAAAATGGAAGCACATGAGATTTGGAAATGATATCAGTATAACAGAAAAACTCAAATTATCTTAAAACTATCAAGAACAAGTCTCACTTCTGATTTCCAATAAAATGGTTTTCCAGGTGCACTCTAGTCTAGCAGATATGGCACTTATAAGTCTCCACACTTAATATGACAGGCAGACAAAATGGTAATTATTAAATGTAATGTTAACAGGCATTCCAGTGCTTATTAAGAAGGCATTATAGTACACCTGAGACAGATGTTACAAGTGGACAGCATGTCACAGGCAATCTCAGTAGGAGCATACCATAGTTCTCAAAACACATGATCAATAAAAAGTGCTATATGGGTCCATCAACAGATTTCTGATCTAAAGCCACCAATTAAAACACCAAACGATGACTGACTGATTTTCCCCAGCAAGTCTTCTATCAGTAAATTTTATAACAGAGAATAGTAGAGATGTGAAAAATGGAGCACCTAAACATTAAGTCAGCCATTACACGGTGGTTCTTAAACGTTTGTGAATTCATTTGAATTTTCAAAATTTCTGCATAAATATGACCTAAAATGTGATCAGTTATCCGAACAGGTCCTAAAACTAGAAAATCCAGTTAAACAAATGAGTCAAGAACATTATGTTTTATTTATTGAAGAAATTGATTCAAAGCTATCAATCTGAGTGTGGCAAAACTATACAAATCTTTAGGATTATTAGGATGATCAATTCACTTGAAGTGGTACTTAAGAGTCAGATATTTCAATCAAAGGGATGATAATCAGGTATAAATATAAAAGGCCCTGCCTTATTTAAAAAAGAGAATCCTGGGTATTAGCTATAAAAGTCTGATTTTCCCAACATAGGTATGTGGAAGTGTGCCATGGCTTGAATAAAGGAGATTTCTGAGGATCTCTGAAAAACAGTTGTTGATGTTGAGTAGGCTGGAAAAGGTTGCAAAACTATTTCCAAAACGTTTGGATTCCACCAGCCTACTCTCAGGCAGATCGTGTAAAAATGGATGCAATTCTGAATCTTTGTTATCCTCCCCAGGAGTGGTTCACCAACCAGGAGCAAGGCATGTAATACTCAGGAATATTTCAAAGAACCCCAATGTTACATCTAAAGAACTAAAGGCCTCTCTTGCATTGTTGAATGTCAGTATTTATGAGACCACCATTGGGAAAACAGTGAACAACAATGGTGTGTATGGCAGGATTGCAAGGGGAAAGCCACTAAAAGACCACATGGATAAGCCAGAAAGGTATTAGAATAATGTTCCGTGGACAGGTGAGATAAAAATACAACCATTTGGCTTGAATGAAAAGTGTTCAGAACACAGTTAATGTTTTAGAATGGCCAAGTCAAAGTCCTGACCTTAATCCTATAGAAATGGTGTGTAAGGATCTGAAGTGGGCAATTCATGCAAAAAAGCTGACCAATATCCCTGGATTGAAGCTGTTCTGCAAAGAGGACTAGGCTAAAACTCCTTCAAACTGAAGTACAGGATAGATTAACAGTTATCAAAATATTTAGTTGCAGTTATTGCTGCCCAAAAGGGCACACCAATTACTGAAAGCAAAGATTCACATAATTTTGCCACACATAAATATGTAGCTTTGGATCATTTCCCTCAATAAATAAATGAACATATTGCATTTTGACTCATTTATTTAACTAGCTTCTCTTTTAGGATTTATGTGAACAGGTCACAGTTTAGATTACATTCTTTTAGAAATACTGAAAATTCAAATGGATCCACAAAGTTTTAAACACCACTATACATACAAAAGAATTGAGGCCTTTGAACTATGGTGCTGGAGAAGACTCCTGCGAGTCCCCTGGACTGCAAGGCGATCAAACCAGTCAGTCTTAGAGGAGATCAACCCTGATTGCTCTTTAGAAGGCCAGATCCTGAAGTTGAAACTCAAATACTTTGGCCACCTAATGAGAAGGAAGGACTCACTGGAGAAGAGCCTAATGCTGGGAAAGATTGAGGGCAATAGAAGAAAGGAACGACAGAGAATGAGGTGGCTGGATGGAGTCACTGAAGCAGTAGGCATGAACTTAAATGGACTCCAGAAGATGGTAGAGGACAGGAAGGCCTGGAGGAATGTTGTCCATGGGGTTGCAATGGGTCGGACACGACTTTGCAACTAACAATATACATACTAGAGGTATGCACAAAATATACTGCTTCATTTCTAATCAGAACATGTTCTGCTGAACCATTTTGTATTGTTTCAGCTTTCAGGTAAAACAAAATCCAAACATGACGAATTGAGTAAAATTAGTGTACATCACACATACACACATATATTTCTCTTTTGAGAAGTTGCTACTGCAGCATAGAACACTGGATCACCAATCTCTGATCTTGCCAGAGCCTTTCTTTCTTTCCTCCTTTTACAAAGGTGCAGAAAACTGTTGGCCATATTCCAGAATATACTCTCCATTTACTTTAAAACAAAACTGAACAGACTTGGCGCACATGCCAAGCTGAAATCGTACTCTAGAACAACCATTCAAAATCTGATGCCTTCCCAAATGTACTGGAGGACAACTCTCGTCATCTCCAGTCTGTCTAGCCATATTTTCAGATTTGACCTCAAACTTACCCAGAAGATTCCAAGTTGACAACTACTGCTATAAAGAAATATTTTTCAGTGCCCAGCTATTCTCAATAAAGATAAACCACCATGACAGATCCAAAGATACCCTTGACTTTTACTTCCCAGATTGGAACAATCAGGTTCAGTGGTTCCATAATTTAAATTCTTGCTATATAATATTTATTATTAGTACTCTTGTGCACAACCTTAGTAGCATTTGATATCACTAGCAAGTAATTTTACATATGCATTACAAACATACCTAAAACAACTAAGCTGAGCATTTACATGTTTGCATACTAATATATTTTGTGTACTGCAGATGATATACTTACCTGTATTCACAGAACTCTGGTTTCCTTTTTCTGTCTTTTTTTTTTTGCACTGAACTTTTCAACTATCAAGATTCTATTTTTTGCAAACAATAAATGCAGACGTGTAGGCTTTGAGTTGCAGAGTCCATCCCTTGCTCTCAATGCAGGAATCCAAATTAAAGTATCCTCAATAGACAGATTGTCCAGCATCTATTTGACCAACTTCAGTGGAGGGAAGCTCACAACTCTTTTGGATAATTTGTTTGTCAAGCTATTTTTACCATTCAATATGGTATTTGCATTATTTTAAGTATTATTACTGGTAAATATTTGGAGATTTCATTCAAATATCAGCTTTCAGATGTACAGTGCAGCCAATATTGGAGAATACACTCTGAAACACACCCTGTGCTAGGCAAGCTGGCCAGTCAAATGGGCTATCCTGGAAGTTGCTGAAGAGAGGCTGTAATCAGTACCAGCCCTTCCCTCTTTCCCCACTCCTGCCATCATACTTCTTTTTGG